GGGGTCTTCAGCAGCAGCTGAGGCAACATCAGGACCAAGGAAGCTTGCTTGCTTTCTAAGTTCTGCACCACTGGAAGACTCTGGCTGATGTCATTATAGTCACAGGTGAACAGCCAGTGACTGGGCTACATTAAATTAGGTCCCCATAAGGTTGTTTCTGGGAGGGAACAAAGGATCATGAGTCACACAGACTCCTCCAAAAGCCTGCGGAGTTAGGTCTAGCAAGTCACACATAACAGATGTCTGGTACACGTACCAAATGTTTGATGGCTTTCTGATTTTGTGAAATTATTAAATTCTAATGATCTTATCTTGTTTTGAGAGACAGCATAACTTTGGAGCTTCACATAAAGGCAAAAATTAAGTCATTCTTATTTAAACATCTTGGCAAAGTTGAGTTCTAACCACTTTCCCCAATACACAGCCTCAGTTGTGAAGAAGTCACACGAATACACTTCTTTTCGTGCATGCTTCCAACCATGTTTTCATGGTTCCACAGCCTTGCTGTCTGTGAAGGCTACAGAGGAGAAATCTCTACCCTGCACAGATTCTCATTTTCCACATTGAATATTTAATTTCATCTTGTTCTAATTACCTCTCAACATTACTGATTCCTGTTTGTCATAGTTGGAAATCAGCTTCCTGGAAGGACTATAATGATTAATGCACTCCTACTGCGGGGCATACTTCAGGGGCTCCAGGGGAGGGATAGATAGTCTTGGGCGCATTAGGGAACATATCCTCTAGGGGAGAATGCTCACAGGGAAGCAGGTACACCAGGGGGTCAAATGTCAAGTGCCACAGTGACGTGCACAGGCAGCAGGCAGCCTGAGGTTGGTGGATCGGGACAAGGTCAGGAAACTCAGTTGGGTCTTTCGGGTGGTGAAGGATTTGCATATTTCAGGAAATGTGGTTGAAGGTGTGGCACGACCTAATCCTGAAACCACCTGAGTTAGTTTTGAGCCCTGGCCATGGTCCCCAGGCTCAGTGCTGCTGTTCTTTTCCGCTCACCGCCTGCCTGCTTGTTTAAACATTCTTCTTCAATAAGAAGATCTACCAGAGCTGGTGCATTCTCAGAGCCTCTGTTTTCACCACTTCTCCCTTCTGTAGAGATATCAGACAGAGGCGTCTTCTATTTCTTCCTTTCTATGGTATATTTCAAAAGGAAATTGTCCCCCTAACTCTCATGAGCAAATATGAATACAGTAAACACTGTAGAGCACTGCAGTGTCCTGGCCTTTATGAGGTTCTGGTCCACTCTCTGCTCTGGTGCTGGAGAGTTCCTTGGGGTTCTGCTGTTTACTTCTGGGGTAAAGTCACCCAAGTTCTACATTCATTTTAAACCTTGTCCACATCAGCCTAAGTAGAGCCTCTTGCCCCTCCTTTTCTTGGGGACAGTTCTCTGGGCTCAGGTAGGCCATTTGCATTTCTATGGCTTCTCAGGCTGCCTGACAAAGGTTCCCTCCTCTCGGAGAGCCTGGAAGTGGAGTGTCTCAGCTTCTTTCCTACCTGACAGAGCAACTGAGAAGAAAGGGGGTTGTTCTGGCTCACAGTTTCAGGTCCCAGCCCCCAATGCAGGGAAGTTCCAGCAGCTGCTCTGGACAGCTGGCATGGCCGCAGTCAAGGCGCAGAGAATACACGGATGCTTGTCTCCCCTTTTCATCTGATGCAGGGCCCAGTGCCAGAAATGGTACCGATTACATGCAAGGTAGGGTAGGTCCTCACACATCCTTACAGGAAGCTCCAACTATGGGATTCCTGAGTGTTCAAACGAGGGGGTCTCTGGTTCTCTTGGACTCTTTTCCTTCTCTGTTGGTTTGTCTTGCCCAACTTCAATGTGAAAGTTTTTATCTTATATTTTATTTTGTTGTATTTTAAAGAATGAATGAATGAGTGAATATCGAGCCACTGGAGTAAAAATAACAGCTGAACTGTCATTTATATCTGCTGGGAGCAGGAAAATCAGTTTTTCTCAATGAAGTGGCACTGGGTATATCAAGCACTCCAGGGCAGAGCTCATGCCCAGGAGTTGTTGATCAACATATAATAGAGTTTACAGTATTTTTGTATGCTTTCATTTGGTTACAGTTTGGTGGGGACTTTTGCTTATTTGTTTTGTTTTGGGGGGTATTTTCTTTTTGGTTTGGGAGGGAGGGTTTGTAGTATTGATTTTTCAAGAAAGAAATTAACGTTGGGGTGGGTAGGGAGGGAGAGTGGATCTGGAATGACTTGGGGGAAGGGGAGAATATAATCGAGGCTACTTAAATTTAAAAATTGTTTTAAACAGAAAAATATTTTAAAAAAGAATTAAGTCCTTAAGCAGCATGTCGGGGATAGCCATGATTTATTGCTTATTTATTTATTTATTTAGATTTTTTGAGACAGGGTTTCTCTGTGGATTTGGAGCCTGTCCTGGAACTAGCTCTTGTAGACCAGGCTGGCCTCGAACTCACAGAGATCCGCCTGTCTCTGCCTCCGGAGTGCTGGGATTAAAGGAGTGCACCACCACTGCCCGGCGATTTCTTGCTTATTGATGAGGTAACATTGGTCAGTTGTCATTAGCTCTCATGGCCTCGTGTTTATGTCAGCTCTCATTGCCTCAATTTAAATATATTTTAAATGTAAGACACTGAATATGACAGTCTTCTAGTGAATAAACGTATTCACATAAAAATATAAACTTTAAAAAACCTGTTTATATAAGAAAGACACCCCCCCCCCCCAAGTGATTACAAATGCTGCCAAGTTTTAGGCAAAGTTGTGCTTTTGTTTGTTTGTTTTGAGACAGGGTCTCACGTAGTCAAGGCTGGCCTGAAACTTGCTATGTACCCAAGGATGAGGATGAACATCTGATCCTCCCATCTCTCGCACCCACGTGCTGCCCTTACAGGCATGAATGCCACTCCCAGTCCAAAAGACACTGGTACATGTGAGAACTTAGTCAGCAAAACCAGCTGCAATTTTGTGGAGAGAAAGAACCATCTTCAAGGGTCAAAGCATCTGGGATGAAAAGATGGATCTGTCCTGTTGGTACTGCTTCTTGGTGAAAGGAAAGGCCAGCAGATGAAGAGGGAGGATGAGCAAGAATGGTTCCATAAAAGGCCAGATATTTGGGAGGCTAAGGGAGAAACTTGGGAGGAGAGGGTAAAAAAAAACAGTCTGAGAAAGTATAACCGACAGAGAAACATCTTGTTGGTAAGAGTGCTGTGTGTTTAGTAGTTAACCGACAGAGAAAATCCTTGTTGGTAAGATTGCTGTGCTGTGCTGTGCTGTGCTGTGCTGTGCTGTGCTGTGCTGAGTATGGAATATGAGAGGGTCCTAGGTTATCACAGTTCCGATGCTGAAAGGAATGTAGGAGCCAGGCAGGTTCTGAGTAGCATCAACTTTTGGTGGAACAAAGTGTTTTCTTAGCTTTAACCAGCAATGCTTAGCAATAAAAGTTCACAAAATTTTTTTTCCACTAAATATAACAAGAACAAAAATAATGTTGAATGACAGCTGATTTAGGGACATCCATTATTCCTGCTGGGTTTCAGCAACATTTTAATTACTGACAATGGAAATGAAATATAAATCACACACATAAAAACAATATGAAAGTACTTATTAGATATTTGTTTTGAGAAGAATATAAAAGAAAATGATTTTTGGAGCTGAAATAAAATTGGTCCTTTTTTTCATTTTTTTCTACAAAGGAAAAAGTGAGACACTCATTTTCATCCTTGATTAGGAAAATCTTCCATTCATTCTATATTAATTAAATTTTAAAAATAAATTATTGAGATCTTGACTATACACTTCAAATGTCCTATTTATCAACCTTCAAATTTTGCCTTTTTCTGTTCTCCTATGAACAAGCACACATACAAACAAACAATAACAAAACCAAGAAAAACTCAAAAGCAGCTAATTTTTCTAATGACAAGTCATAAGATATCTCCAACTTTATGGCTTACAGCCTAAACTCTAATTCTAAAATATTTAAGTGATAATAGTCACACGTTTCCCCATTTCGCTCCCCAGTCAACTAGATTCCAGTTTACAATAAGTGCCAAGGGGATTTTTCCCTAAGCAAGGTGCCATGTTAACTTTCCTTAGGATATATTTTATAAGACAAAAACCAACAGCAAAACATACCATCTAATTAAAATTCAGAATGCAAGTTTAATACATATAGCTTGCACAAAATTCTTATCAGCTTTTCCCACACAATATAATGAAAAAATTAGTATGGTCCCTTATTTTGAGAAAAAGTAGCATAAATATGATTTTTTTATCTAAAGACGATATTATGAAAATAAAAAGTCACCAAAAAATGGAAGATGAATATATCAGTGGCTGTATGCTAGAGTGAGCTTTTAAAAATATATTTTAAAGTAGTATGTCTAAAAGCTCCAGATTAATGGGCAGTATCTAATTATGAACATCACTCATCAAAAATAATTAGCACAAAGCAAACTAGCACAAAACGATTTAAGGGAAAGTAGAGCACTCGTTACTAAAGGTCAAGATTTTGGGTGAGTACCGAGTCCATGTCCCAATTCATCATTTATTAGATTTAGAAACAATCTGGAAAACCGTCAGAAAGCAAAAATCCATCATTTGTAATCTATTTCTTCATTTCTTTTGCAAAATCATCAGGACTGATTCAGGCACTGCTCCAGCCTGTGAAATGCTGGACAGCGCGTGCACCTGCCAAGCTCAGTGCAGAAAGCATACAGGACAAGAGGGAGGGGAGAGGGGAGTTAGTAGTGACTTGCTGCTTTGGGAAGCATAGAACTCATTCTATTGTGGGTTGATCCTTTGGCACAATCCCATCCAGTGTCCTTACCAAAATACCACGCACAAGAAATCCTGTTTCCCCGGGAGGGGTTATAAGCTTGAAGAACCAAATATCTAAGGAAATAGCCGGCTCAGGGAAAGGGAAGTGGTTGGAAGAATTCAAGTGACCCTGTGACGTCAGGAAGAAGCCGAGGTTTAAGGAATGGAGTGGAACTCACCGGGCTGCACAGATGTCAAAGGTCAAAGGGCATAGCCTTGCAGGCTCCCCAGATGCAGGAAAAATGAAACGCCCCTCCTGAGCTCTCAATGTAAAGCAGAAGTCCAGTGGCTCAGTTGTTTCTGCCTCTGACGCCAGGGACAAGCCCTACCATGCACAGTCTTGGCAATAGTCAAAAGCAAGACCCGCCCGATTTCAGAGCCCTAGCTCGGGAATCCCCTAATACTCCTTCCCCCCACCCCCTCCCGCGCCGGAGGCCACAGACACCTTCATCTTCACTCCCCACCTTTTCCTGGCCCTCTCGCTCTTAACAGCATCGGTATCCATGGCGACCTGAAACCGCAGCTCCCATTGGCTTGTTCAATATGAGGGCCGGGCCAATGGGGAGGGCCGGCCCTCTCCTTCCGCCCAATGGGGCGGGCGCGCAGCCTGCCTGGGGACGGCGGCGTGCTGACGTTCCCGGGTGCCGGGACTGGCCGGGCGGGCGGGCTGGCGGCGGGGCGGCGGCCTCCGAGCAGTCTGAGTGGCTCCGGGGCTGAGTGCGCGTGGACGCTGGCCGCGGCGGCGGCACTATGGGCACGGGGTAGAGGCGAGCTGCCGCCGCCACCGGGGTGGTGGGAGAGCCTCTCCGGGGGAGGGGGCGGGTGGGGAGGGAGGGGCGGGCAGCGGCGCGGTTTCAGCACTTCGACCAGTTTGCTCCGGTGCTGCAGCGGCGACCCTTCGGTGCGGACGTCCCTGCTTCCCGGAGCGACGATGACCTCCGTCTGAGCTGGAAAGTAAGTGTGCGGCGCTGGCGGGCGGGCGCGGGGCTCCGGGGCGCGAGCTGACCGGAGCGCGCCGAGCCGGGACCTGGCGATGGCCGGGCGCCCCCCGCGGCTCCGCGGCCGCGGTCGCACCGTCCCCGCCGCGTGCTCCACCATCCCGCCCGCCTCTCCCCTCCCCCCCGGCGGCTCACAACTTTGCCCCGCACGGTCTACACGGCCGCTTCTCCTCCGGCACCGTGCCACCGCTTCCCGAACTTGAGCCCCGCGGCTCCCGCGCGCCGTCGCTCGCGCCGGGGGCCGGTAGTCTGTCGGTCTGTCCTTCGTTCCCCAGAAGCAACCGCTTATCGCTGCCTCCCACGCCCGCCCCGCGTGTCGCCCCGGCCCTTGAAGCCGCACTGGTGCTTGTGGAGACCGCCTGGCGGGTCCAGGGTTCCCAGCTCGCGGCAGCAAACCGCACGCTCCTCCCTCGCGGGCGCCCCAGCTCCAAGGCTACGGGCCGCCCTCCCGCACCGCCCTGCCTCTTCGCGGTGCCAGGAGTTGGAGCGGGCGCTGCACCCATCGGAGGATCGGGGGTCCCTGTCCCCTCCTGCTCCTTGGGAAACGAGGGGACCAGCGGCGGGGCCGGAATCTGTCGGTGTGGTGGCTGAGTGCGACACCCCGCGAGCGCAGGCAGCGGAGGCGCCGCGGTTGCTCCGGGCGCCGCGATAGGCAGGTGTGTGTGTGTCTGTGTGTGTGTCCAACGGCGACGCGCGCTGCCAGCTCGTAGGCTGGCGACAGATTGTGCTGGAATGCAAGGAATGCGCCAGGGACAGAGTCCGCACGGGCCACGGTCGCACTAGCGCCTTGCCGGCCCTGCTTTCCCCGCGCAGCCAGAGGTCACGGAGCATCTTCAGAGCTGGTGAGCTTCGTTCACTCTCCTGCCTCCGCTTCTCTCCCTGCGGCAGAGGGTGGCAGAGAGGGAAGCCTGGTAGTTTCTTGGGGCTCTAGCCTATGGTTCTGGGATTTTGCTGCATTGGTCCCCAGGACCATGAATTTGGGTGTCAGTGTAGCCAAGGTTATTGATCGTTGCACAAGGCTCTTGACAAGTTTGGTTTTGCAAGGTTTGGATAGAGCATTTTTTTTTTTTTAAACTAGGGTTTTCTGAGTACCCGCAGAGACAGAGGGCCGAACGTTCTTGAGTGACAAGCTTGCAGCTAACATATTTTAGGTGTATCAGAAAACGCCTTTTGGTGCTCCAGGTCCGGGCTGTACTGCGAGAAATCTTGAATGCATCACTGCTGTCATAAGGGTTGGAATATTTCCCCTCGTCATACTGGGCTGTGTTTAGGCCTCGTATAATACATAATGAATAGAAACAGAGCAGCAGTGTTTGGCCAGCGATGGGACAGATAGAACTGTCTGGTACAGTGAATTCGGGGCGTGTAAGTTACCACTGCAAGTAACCCGGAGACATCACAGTCATGTATATTTCAAGATGTAATTTATTAGTGGAAAGGGCCATTTCTCTCTCTGTCACCGAGTTTCACTGAATAAAAAGCACAGTCCTTCAACTTTTAAAGATTGGTAAATATGTATAAAATTAATAATGGTTACTATTCATGTTTTGGTCAGTTAATACAGAAAGGCAAAAATTTGACATATGCTCTCCCAGAACCGGGATTCAGTTTTTGCATTTGAGAAAGTAGAATTCGCCTCTTTTTAGATGGAGTGTATTGCGTGGAAGTATCTTCTTTTCTGATACCTGAGAAACAGTTGTGGAAAATGGCAATGTGAAAGCAAGAACAATGCCTGGAGGAACTGCTTCTAAGCTTGCCTTGTGTACTTTTCATTCCAGGCTGTTTGCTTTGAAGGCTGCAGGTACTATAAAACCCTCCGCATTCAGTAAAAGAAGAAGTCAGTTTTTCAGCCAGTCTCCAGTCTTCCGACCCCTACTTTGCATGCATCAAGGGCATTGAAAAGTCTGCGGGCATTTTAGTTAAGACCCAAGGGAGATGAAATGAAAGGTTGTGTCTTCTAGTTGTTACATTGTTTTTCAGGTATGCCTGTAATCAGTGAACCTTCTAATTTCGAGGGTTAATTCGCCTACAGTAACAATAGGGAGGATTTTGGGAAGTGTTTGTAAATGCCTACAGGAAACTTTTATTATGTAACAGTACATTATAACAGCTTAATTCTTGCTCCTTTAATTGGACTTCAAGATTGGAAAGTTAAAGCAGGAGGAGGAGGAAGTAGGTTCTGCAGCTCAGTGGTTGCCATTTACCTGGCGTGTGTGAGGCCCCAAGCCCATTTCCTGCTCTTACTCCCTAAAACGTAAAAGAGAATTTAGTTTCTCTGATGCATCAGAAATGAAAAATTTTGTTCAAGTATGCAGAGTGTATATGAGCATTGGGCAGTTAAGTTTCACCTGCTTCAGGTAAAAGCAGGCTTTCAATTGGAAATGTATCCTGTTTGTTAGGAAGGCTTAAGAAGAGGCTCATAATCTATAATCCTTGGGAATATCAAACTGTTCTGGCCAAAGCCTTTACCTTCTATTATATAAGGAGAAGGTGCTGCATTTGGCATGTGAATGCTGCATGGAAGACTCGGGAATGAGAGGGATTAAGTATAGTGCTGATTCTTACCGCTAATGTTTTTGGAAGGAGGTAGAGTAGCAGGGAAATGTTGGCAAGGCTGAAAGAAGGAGCAGCTGCTGCTGAGCCAGAGAGAAAGTCACATGCATTGTTGCTGCATTTACAGGCTGCATAAAGCAAGATAATCCCGTGAATGGATCTGACATAATATAAGTTTAAAGAATCCGCTACCCATTTCAATCTAATAAAAACCTGAGCAATTGTATAACCTTGAGATTTCAGATTAAGTCTGCATTAAATCATAACTGCAATTTTATTTCTTCTCTGTAGAAATTGGCAAAATAAATTGAAAAAATTTAAACTACTTACGTTGATTTTTAAAAATCTAGTTTTTGTCATCTTTTAAACAGAAAGGTGCTCCCCTCCCCCCCGGTGTTATCCAGAGATCTGTTTAAATAGATTTTCCTAGCCAGCATGACGCCAGCCACATGGCAAATTGTGACCCTTACCTGACTCCTTTCAAAAATCAAGATTATTTTGAGAATGGCCTATATACTGATGTTTTTAATTTACTTTGAGAAATAGCTCCTTGCTTAAGTAGAAAACAGCTTTCTCTTTCAGTTGATGAAAAGTAGAGTTTGTCGTAGGGTTGTTCTAGAACATAAACATCCATGGAGTTGTACGTCCCTTTGGAGAGTTGCCCTCAGCTTTCTGGGATGACTCCTTCTTCCATATGGCAAATTAGCTCTCGTACCTTTCTGCGTTGAAGGGGAAGATGGCTCTGAAACGGAACACCAGTGGATAAGATGCATTTGGAGAATTAAGTAACTGTTTCATGGCCAAACCTTAACCACAGATGGTCATGCCAGAGAAAGGTAAAACTGTAAGGGCCGTGGATATCAAGCTTCATGTGGGTGCAAAGAATGATGTGGCAGCCATCAGCTAGCCAGCCATCTTCATGCCAGGAGTGAGAATCCCAGTAAGGGGATCAGGCCTGAGGATGCCAAGACCTACAGCTATGATTGTGATGGGCTCACAGCACCGAAGTTCTTCTCACATTGCCACTTAATAATTCAGTGGAATTCTCTCAGTCTTTGGGGGGCATGTTACAGTGACTAAATAGGGGGTGTGTGACAAGAAGGTACGCCTCAGTTATATATAGAACTGCTTCACATATTTGTTGGCTAAATTGCCTTTTTTCCTATCATGGCTTAGATTTCCTGTTACCTGATTTGCTCATAAATGTTGGTCACATTGCTTGTCATTTTATTATTCATAGCCTTGATAACATAGTTATGACTCATAATGATTCACGGCCAATGGTAAATTGTCAATAGGGGTTAAATTATAAAGTTTTAATGGTATAAAATATGTAAAATATGGAAGTCTCAGAACTCCTAGGCATTTTTCGGGTGCCGAATAGTGCCTGGTTGGATAGATGATAGATGTTGTAGATAGCCCCCCCCCCCCCAGCTTAGAGCTGCCAATAGAGTACATAGAGGGAGAGCAGAGGAGCCAGTAAGTCTTTCCATGACAGCCACAGTGTGAGCAATTTCTCCTGTTAGTGTCTTAGTTATGGTTTCTATTGCTGCGACAAAACACCATGACCAACAAGCAAGTCGGGAAGGAAAGGGTTGATTTGGCTTATGCTTCCACAATGCTGGTCATGACTGAAGGAAGTCAAATAGGGCAGGAACCTGGAGTTAGGAGCTGATGCGGAGGCCATGGACGGGTGCTTGCTCAGCCTCCTTTCTTATAGAACCCTGGACCACCAACCCAGAGATCACACCACC